CGGACGCACGGACGCACGGACGATCATGCGATTCTACAAGCTGCATCTGACTATGTCAGATGAGCTAAAAATAAGTAAGGTCAATACTATATCTGTTGTCACATTAATATGTTACCTGTAATATAAAATGTTTTACAACATCACGGAATAATCAATACATATATATGTACTAACAGTAGAATATTATTTTCCAGATTTTGGAGATGACAAGGTCGCTGTACTTCTTGGTAAGCTTGCTCCAGCACTGGATGCAGCTGGTATGGACAGCAACCAGATAGAGCCAGAGTTCACCAGACTCAAGTGCCTTCTGTACCAGAGGTAAGACAATTTTTAATTATCATTCCAGTTCTTTAGTGAAGCCTGTCTTATATAGGTACTACATAAATGCTGCTTGAGAATTGAGTTAAATTATTGTATTTTTTTTTTTAAATTCTAGCTACCCAGATATCAAATCGCTCTCCTGGGAAACAATCAACAGGGGCATGGTGGCCAAATGTCCCAACATCCTTGCGCTAATCGACCTGGTCTTGACATTCCCTGCTGGCAGCGTGGAGGCTGAGAGAGGGTTTAGCCAAATGGGAATCGTGAAAAACGACTGGAGGAGTTGTTTGCTCGACAGTAATCTGTCAGATTTACTGATGGTCTTATTGGAAACCCCGGAGGTTGGGGAGTTTGATCCGAGCGAAGCCATCCACCTATGGAATTCAGCAGGCAGCAGAGCCAGAAGACCAAATTACATGGAGGATGCTGGTGATGTAGAGGAGGAGGAGGAGGAAGACTTTGTCCCTGATGAGGAGTTACAGCAGCTGGAAGACAAGGCCAATGATGACCTTGCCTTCAGCATGCCGGACGACTGAGACCATATTGATAATTATTGATATTGATCATTATAATTCATAATGATTAACTAGTAAAATTGTCATTAATAAAAGTGATTATCAAGCAGACAAATATGTTCTCAATTTTCGTCATTAAATTTTAGCAGGCTTCATAAGAGCGTCTAAAATCAAAACCCAGATCCACCCACCTCACTCCCCCCCACCCCCGCAAATGGCAAAACTGTGCTCACTGCATAGCTTCAGCGCCGCACTTCAGAAAAGTAAGGGCTGGTAGATATTTTTAATGGCTAGTGAATTTTACAGGTCATTGACATTTTAGGTTAGTTTCAAGCCCTGGACTAGTTATTCTTTAGTAGGGGTGTTGGGTTGCTACGGAGGCACATTATTCGCATACATTATTACGTGTGCGGCATGAATGAATCAGCCGTACTCTTACTGAAGGAAGCACAATACAGGCGCGATCAAGAGCAAGGCACGTGACAAGCAGCCAACGGCAGCGCGAGGGGGGATTGGTGGAATGCATAAATTAGGTGTCTATATGTCTGCGTATGTATGTGCGCGCGCGCGCACGTGCGTGCGTGCGTGCGTATGCATGCGTGTTTGTATGTGCAAGAAACTGTGTGAGTGTGCCTGTCGTGTGCGTATGCGTATTAGCCAGCGAGCCGTGCAGCCGTGATTTGGACGGTTTGTTTTGAAACTGCACGGCCAAAGAAATGGGAAAAGTTTCAAATTGAGAAATGTAAACAAGTTAAAAATGTAAAAGAATTAAAATATTCCTGCTTAATACCCTGACCCTAACCCTAACCCTAATACTTTAAAGTACCGTGGTACTGGGAAGTAACAACTTGCAGTAAAATTCGACTACAGTGTGGCCCCACTATAAGTTATAACGCAATCACTGAGGTCCATAAAATGTATAAATCAGCATATGACATATTCCATATAAAGGTGCACCATTTTCTGTCAAGATGATTTTTATGTTCAGTAAATGATAATAAATGTATGTTTGGACACATTTTCTCCATTATTTTTATTTATTATACTGTTTTATATTGACATAAATGGTACAGAGGCAATCTATTGACCGAAAGTACGGAAATATGGAATTTGTTTAATAAAAGTTGTGCAAAAGATGACGTTCGCAATCTACCTTGATAATCACTACCCCACAAGCTATGTCCATTATGTTTAGTTACGTGCACTCTTGTTTATAAGTAACCATATATATCATCACTTTAAATTCAAAATTTCTTATTACAAGCAATACTACGGTGTTTGGGGTTAGTTTTGTTATTTAAACAAAGTTTTGTAATTACGTTTTATTGCGTTCATACATCCGTCAAACTTTATGACGTTCGCAATGACACTGTAAAGTCACTTCCTGGTCAACTCACAATTTGTATGCATGCTGTATTGTGGAAATAAATTTTCCATTTCATTTTCACCTATGATTTAAGAAACACCTCAATAATCCTTACTTATGGAATATCAAATTTTTTTAAATTTCGTCAAATATACGAGATATTCGGCCATGCAAGCGTTGATAACCAAACCGTATCAGCGTTGCACTTAAAATAACCAGTTTTCGAGTGTCATCTAATTTCGTGTGAACTACAACTACTTTCACTAGGGCAGTTCCCTCATTTTTATTGACAATATTAGCTAGTTTTGCCTTTGCGTTTTGAGTGTTTTTCCACACACACACACACACACATACACACATACACACACACACACACACACAGTAGAAGAAATAAAAAAAACTCCCTAATCTCTCTCTCTCTCTCTCTCTCTCTCTCNGAGTAGTGATGGATGCGGCAGCCAAGAACAACGGCAAATCACTGAATGATTGCATACATCCTGGTCCCAAGCTCCACCGTGAAATAATTGATGTCCTCATGCGCTTCCGTAAGAATCCAATCGCCATAGTAGGTGACATCGCAGAAATGTTTCTGCAAATCGAGTTGGCACCAATGGATAGAAAGTATCATCGGTTCCTCTGGCGTGATAACGAGAATGAACCAGTCCGGGAATATGAGTATCAACGGCTAGTGTTTGGCAATAGTGCGTCCCCATATCTCTCGCAGGACGTAATTAGGCATCATGCTAAAACACATGCAGATTCCCATCCTGATGCAGCAGAATCTGTGTTGCACTCTACATATGTTGATGACGTAATGGACAGTGTTATTTCTGAGCAATCTGGCGTCGAGTTGCGGCGTGAAATAACTGACCTACTCGGAACAGCTGGATTCGTCATCAGGAAATGGATGTCGAACAGTATAAACGTGCTTCGTGATGTGCCGGAAAACGAGCGGGCCTTAAACATTGAATTAGACTCGAACTATTTACCAGCGATAAAAACGCTGGGTTTGATATGGGATGCAAGTCGTGATGTGTTCACGTTCAAAGTGGAAATCCCGCCATCGGAAATGAGAGCAACAAAACGAAACGTGTTTCGAAGCTCAGCAACGCTCTATGACCCACTGAATTTTTTGGCACCGTTTACGATTCGTGCAAGAATCTACATGCAGCAAACCTGGGTCAAGGGCATAGAGTGGGACGAACTTCTTCCGTCGGAGTTATCGCGAGAATGGAGAAACTGGTTCAGGGAACTTCCCAAGCTTACGGACATAAAAGTGACGCGATGTTTGTCACTACATAACGGACGTATCGTCAGGAAAATGCTTCATACGTTCGTGGATGCATCGATGTGCGCATATGCTGCAGCCATCTACTTACGGTGCGAGTACGAAGCGGGACAAATCTCGGTTGCCTTAGTTGCATCCAAAGTTAGAGTAGCGCCACTTAAGTCACTGTCGATTCCAAGACTAGAATTATCAGGAGCACTGATTGGTCTTCGTTTGACGCAGCGTGTGCGTGCTACACTAAAGATAGCAAACTCCGAAATCATTTACTGGTCGGATAGTTTGAATGTACTCTATTGGATTCGCGGCGAGTCGCGTCGTTACAAGCCATTTGTTGCACACCGGGTTGGCGAGATCCATGAATGTTCGTCGCCAGAACAGTGGCGTTATGTGCCTACAAAGTTGAATAGTGCAGACTTGCCCACCCGTGGATTAAGTGTAGCCGAGTTGATGGAGAGTGATCTGTGGTGGAATGGTCCGTCGTACTTGGCCCAGGCTCCTTCAAACTGGCCTAAAAATCGTCTTGAACCAGTCCCCAGTAGAACGAGGGCTATGAAGTGCGTCCAATGCGTGTAGTACACACGGTCAAGCAATCCAGAAAAGTGTTCGACCTTGGTCCGTATCGCTCGTCAAGGATTTTTCTTCGTGGTAAGATAAAGAACGGTATTAACAGGCCTGGATATGTCGTTCACATGAGAAGCTCGAAGGAGAGCCAAGCAATAGAAAATCTTTAATCGTTGCTTGAGAAGTGATCCAGAAGTGCAGCATGCAGAGTTAAATGGATCACAGCGCATTGCACAAGAAGAGGTGTACTCGGGGAAAATTGACGATTTGAGTCCCGTGGACGCACAGTAAAGAATCGATCAAGCTCCATAACTGAGGCTGAATCCGCGCTTAGACAGCAAACGGTGTGATGGGAATGGTAGCGGTCGACTAGAGAATCACACCAAACCTGCCATGTGAGAACAGTCGCGGTTTCCGGTGATTCTGCCAGCGCAAAAGCATGATGTGACTTGTCGTCGCTGGGTCGTTCCTACGGGTCGTTCCCGTCCGCTGGTCGTCTCGTGTGGGTGGTGGCTCGGTCGTGGTTGTGGTGTGGCGTCCGTTTGGTCGTGGTTGGGTAATGGTCGTTGTGCGTCGTGGTGGCATGGTTGTCCGTTCGTCGCGCGGTGGTCGGGGTGTGGTGGTCGTCGTCGTCGTGGGTGTGTCAGTCATCGGTGTCGTCAGTGCACCTCGCTGGTGGATCGTCGGTCGGCATCGGGGTCCGTTCCGTCGGTGATCTGGCACTAGATCGCTACAGGTGGTCGGTTACATAAGCCATCGCAGGCTCGCCGCTTAATAGTCACAAAACCACACTCACAGAATGACCACGGTGGCAGGTGTTTCCACATACACTAGCAACCCACCGGGGCAAATACTGATCATACATGGGAGGGAGGAAGTAAAGGAAGTTCGAACCAACCAATGTCTTACGGTGTAGACGTCGAGGTGCAAAATGCCAGCTGGCGCAAAGTAATGGCTCCGCTGCCCGAGATGAGACTGCTTCCAGGCACAGGCATATCGCGAGAATCAGGAGTTGAGACCTTTGGCGGCCCTACTTGACAAAACAAGGACAGAGGACGTATACGTAAGCAAAAACGCTACAAAGTGCCTGTCACAAGGTGTCTCGCATGTAGAGCAGTACATCATTGAACTGGCCTGGAGCCTGGAATATCCGCTCTTGCGCGTCGGCAAGCATGCTCTCGTTCACTAACAGGCGAGGCAAGCGCAATCCAGCATGCAATCAGATAACGGAACAAATTTTGTGGGAGCTGATAACGAGTTAAAAGAACTTAGCTAGCGCGCCCTAGATCAGAATAAAATAACACAACCACCAAGTGACAAACCGCAAATGGGAAATGGTGTGGAGGTTAATCCGCCCGAGATCACACAGGCTCTTTTGTGAGGCGTGTCGAATCGAATGATTCAATGTCTTGCGAGCGTGCCCTATCTGCGGTGTTAGGTAAATGCCGACATCCACTGGCATGAAGAGTTGTTGTCTGCGCGCTGGTGTGTGTTGAGCGGCTTCCAAATTCGCGCCCCTACACTTTACCATGGGTGCCGGATCCTGACGATGAACCTGATCCTCACACCGGGTCAAGTCACTTTCTGATTGGTTCAGATGAGTGGGGCACTGGGCTCCGGACTCTCAATCAACACGCGGGAATCGAACTCCCGAGAAAAGCGCTTAGCGAAGAATTCAGAGAGACCGTCACCGCATTATTGGTATCACCGAGGCCTGAAGGAAGTCACCTGCCTACCCTGAGTTATCTGGTGGAGGCAATTGGAACCGGGGCAGCACCTGACCTGAAAGTTGGGGATATATCGTGCGTGTCGTCATCGACACTGTGGTTGGTCGTTGGTGGGTCGTGCGCACGCCTATCTCCGGACGTAGGGTGTCGTCGTCCGTCCTGGGCCAATTGGTCGAATAGTTGACACTCTTCGGCTGGTACTGGACCGGTGCATGTACCGTGTAAGAGTGAAATTGAGGCGCGAGTCCCGTGGTTCTATACAACGATCTGTTCATAGAGTTGTGCCGTCTAAATTATGAAAAAGCGAAACACATGTTTTGCCGGTTAAAGATAGATTAAGGCAAGATTTATGAGAATAGCTAGCAAAGAGCCACGGTTTGCTGCGATGNTATATATATATATATATATATATATATATATATATATATATATATATGCTTTCCCTATATATGAATTCTAAACATTTGCAGCGTCTGCCATATCGACAACGTATCAACAGCTATTATGATATGTATTACATATACACATATTTCCCTATTATCTACTTATATATGATATATTACTACTATACTGATATATATATATATATATATATATATATATATATATATATATATAGTGCGTGCGTGCGTGCGTGCGTGCGTGTGTGTGAATTACATGTATTATTAGCTCTTGAACTTATATGGTTCAGATACTAAAAATTCTTCGCTAAAGCAGCGGGTGAGGGTGCATATGGAGGGAGGGTGTGGGTGTAGAGAGGGGTGGGTGAGGAGGGTGAGGGTGGATGGAGGGTGTGGGTGTAGAGANGCAAGGAATCATTTCCTTCTTGTTTGAAGCATGATTACAAAGCTTTGACGAGACGGCACGCGGCGGCATGACACTGTGCAAGAAGAACATAATGAGAGCAGTCCTAAGACGGTTCAAAGATGGTATCAAACTCAGTCGTCTGCCTCAGAGCGTCGCTTTCACTGAGCATATCTAAGAACATAGCAGCAATACTGCGTAGCAACTGCCAATACTAGAAGTTGGTTCTTAAACGATCATCACTGATATAAGTAATCCCTCTATTTTATCATGGTTTTTGTGGAGTTGTAAAATTTTCCTAACAGTACTAAAATGTTTGACGAGATGCTACGATTGATCAACCACCAATACATAACATTCCCGGAAATGGATGCATCTGACGACGGTGGCCTTCGTAGCCGGAGATAAGGGTCAGCCAATTACAGCCACTCTTGACTGATCCTTGTACAAAGAGCTTCATATAAAGGCATGTGTTCCGCGACGAGGGATCACACTGTATGGTTTAAAAACGCAAGATATAAAAATAATAACGGATGTATAAAAGACATCCACATTATTTTTCACTATCTTCGTGTGCAATTTTATTTACTAAATATTTTGCAATGTTTATACTTACTACTTTCGCAATAAAGATATAGTATAGTATAGATATATATATATATATATAGAGCATTAATTGGCAAAAGTAGTAGAATCTAAATGAACGTGTAATAGGTGAACGGTGCCAGTGCGTGCGTTGGTGCGTGCGTGGCGATGCGTTGTGTTGCGTGCGTGTGTGCGTGCAGTGCGTCGCGTGCGCTGTGGTATATATAATGATAGTTTGCGTCCTGCAACAGTGTAGCTTTATGTAGCAAGGGCAACTGACTGTATATATATACATAATAATGTATCTATCGATTAAATATGATATATATATATGGTATAACTGGTGCGGATTTATTATATATAAACCACTCCTGGTATTGATATATAGCATATAATAACATAATAGATACCTAGTATCACATGAATCGGATCAAACTAATTATTGCGAAAATGATTTCCCAACCCGACGCGGTTACTTAGGCGATGTTAGTAAGTATAATTAATTAGATAATAGACATATAATCAACTCGTGGGTCCGAAAGATGTTGACGGCGAAACGGTCACCAATCGTCGCTGAACCGTACCAACGCCATGCAACATGAAACGCACCAACGCGCAAACATGACCTATACGTACTGCAACATGAACGCCGCGCACGCGCAACAGAAGCGTATAGGTATCGCACATGGCAACATGAACGTGCGCTCCAACGCGCTATCAGGAACGTATAGACGAAACTGCAACATGAACGCCCCACGCGAGCAAAGCGTCAACGTTATCACGCACCTGACAACAATGAACGGTTCGACCGATCGCCGCAACAGGAACGTATACACGTACCTTGAACAAGACGCCGACGCAACGCGCGAACAGGACGTATAACGACTGGCAACATGAACGCCGCAAACGCGCAGCATGACGTATAACGCAGTAACTGACACATGAACGTATAAACACTGACACATGCAATCGCCACACGCGCTAACAGGCACGTATAAGCACTGCAGACATGAACGTTGCACGCGCAAACATGCACTGCAACATGAACGTTCAACGCGCAACAGGAACGTATAACGCACTGCATGAGCATTGCCGTTGCCACACGCGGCGAGTGTGAAATATACATTGCATAAACACATGAGGAAGCCAGGTGCTTTTAACCATCGTCACGCATTAGGTGGAAAAACCAGCTTTTATGAAAGGCACACGCGCAAAATGCCCGCAGCCGCCAAGCGTGTGCATGACTAAGCATTGGAAGGGAGCAAAGCAAAAAGTTTCTATGGGCATCAGTAGCTGCAGATAGAAAATAAGTGGGTGTATTTTGTAGGCGCATATCGTCGGGATTGAACGAGCACGATATCTAAGTTCTAATCCACTTAGAGATTTAGAAACGCACGCTATAGCGTTTGCGTTAAACTAACGTTAACTAGCGTTGCAACTAACGTTTGCGTTTTTAGTTTTTGTGGTGTCCTGTGGCACTGCAGTTGGCGAAAAAAACACAAGGTTGCCGAGAAGATAACGAGAAACTCATACAGAACGACTTGCTACAAATATAAGAGAGAGATGCATAGAAATACTGGTGTTAGAACGTTCACCGCCATCTCAGAGTAGCTCGATGGGAGACGCGGCAGATCTGAAACACGGAAGGAGACTTGGTCTCTCAGAGTGCACGAGCCATCCGTAACAAGGCGACTACTGCTAAAACAGGGCGCGCACGCTGTCGTTGAATTATAACGCAAACCTAACGCATAAACATTTGCTTCGTCTGCGCCTATACACCATTAGCGTTCGTCACCGAAAATTATAAATGTGGTTTTTTCTGAAAATACAACGCTATCGCTGGAAGCAACGTCGCCGTCGGCCACGCGGTCGAAGCCAGCCGGTCGGTCGCGGCCA